AAAAATATATAATATCAATTCAAACTAATTAAAAATTAAAAATTTATATTTTTAAATAAAGTTTTGCGCATAAAAAGGTGACAAATGAACCTTATTAATTTCTTGTGCTGGTGTTTGATAAATTCTAAAAATCGTAATTTAACTGCAACCAAACAAATTAAAGGTTGTATTTCACGTGCCGTTGCCTAATGGTCACTTGCTGCTTCAAAGGACAGTTCATGGTTTGCACTCTCAAGTTTCGGATTCAAGATCCCCCACTAACACTTCTAACATACTGATCTCTAATCATTTTCCTTATCAAAAAAAAAAAAAAGACAAATTAAAGGTCGTGAAAAGGAACATAAAATAAACAAAAGGGAAAAAATTAGTTGTACCAAAAAAGGGTAAAAGTTAGTAATTTAAGACACCAAATTCAACAAATTAAGATAATTTTTTTTTTGAACAGTGTAGAATTCTTTTTTCGGGGAAGGGGGGAAGAGGGCTTGAGATTTGATTCCAAGCTCTTTTAGTCCTAAGCACGTCCCTGCAAAGGGGTGGTCATTGAGTCACCAAGTGCTGGACAACAAATTAAGATAAATAATAATAATAATAATAAAATAAAATAAAATAAAATAAAATAAAATAAAGGAAGCGTGCTTGACCAGCTAGCTGATTTCAACCATACGAAAACAAACAAAACACTGAGCATGTGGAATACGCTCAAATTAAAGAAATAAAGCCATTGCTTATTTTCAAAAAAATTAATAAATAAATAAATAAATAAAGATGATTGACTCGTTCACTTAACTACCAACCGCTCTAGTCTATCTTGAAAACGGAAGTTTTAATTACCAGCTGATCTAATCCATCTTGAAAACACAAGTGTTAATCAATCAACTACGCAAACCTTATTTCCTGGAAGCATCCTATTAAAGTTATTGATTGCATCAGACAAAGGAAGAATAACCTTTGATTGCATAAGCAGGACCAAGTCCTTTAAATCAGAAATAAATTAAGAAAAAAATCATTTGTGTGATCTCTATCTAATTTACCTTTATTTTTATAATTTACTTAATGAATAACTTTTCTATCAACTAAACATGTTGGCTAGAATGAGAGCATCAAACTTGTAATTTAGATTTCAGTCTTATTTCTGTTGCAGCTTTTTCTTCATTCTTTACAAACTAGACGGAATGGTGCTATCAAACATTTAAGACGCAAAATGATACAATAAAACACGCATAGAGCAAAATTTATTGCACACAAAGGGGAAATAAAGAGGTAGTCTTGTGGACTGTAGTGGCCAAGAAGAAAGCCTGAAATTTCACTTTTTTTCTCTTTTTTATGAGATAAACGGAGAAAAGTGAAAATTAAATTGTTTTTGAAATTGTTCAAATACTTAATTTTTTATGTGTATTAATTTATTAAGAGTATTTAAATTTTTTTATTATTATTTTTATATTTAATTGCAAAAAATGACTAATTTCTAGCAATCCCATAAAACAAACCTACCTTGAAATTTCATTTATGTGTCCTTTGAATTCTGAAGAAGCATTTTGAACCTGAAAAACAAGCAGAGGCGACTGGTCTGTTATTTTCAATGAAATACGTAGTGCAATTGCACAAGATGACAAAGTTACAAATAAGTTTAAGACGTACGATCTCCCTCAAGTTCCAGGGAAAAAGTGATGGCACCTAAAACTTGAATGTTCCTTGCAATCTAGCAGCCTTCATTCTTACCAACAAACAAAGCTTTGCCATAATCAAACAAAGGTAGGCCTACAGGTTACTGAGGCATATCTTAACATAGTTGAAAACTAGGAAACAAACATGAAACCGCAGACGATCTACCTGATGCGAGGGTCTAGTGGGCCGGCTCGGAAGCACACAACTGAGAGAACACAAACACATATGAGAAAATCTCACACTAAATCCAAAAAAAATACCTGTCAAATTTATGGGCCTCCACATATATTCTACTAACATATTGATTCTTATCGATCTGGGATCTCCTCCCCATGAACATGTGAGTCTCCCATCCTTAAACACTTGATCACACCAAGATCAAACCATTAGCTGTGATAGGCACACGTGAAAGACCACGAACACATGTGGAAACACCATATTGAACTCAAAAGGTATGCGTATTAGGTTTATGGGCCTCCACATATATAATATACTAACACATTGTTTCTCATCGATGTGAGATCTTTGCACACCACTCAACTCAACTCCACTCACATGTTTATGCACTCCAACACTAACTTTAAAACCATAACTCCCAGAAAGCCAAAGGCATTCCAAAGTTCCACATCAGGTTTAGATCCTTTCCAAAATTCATCTTCATTGTCTTGATTATATTGGACGCCACCATATATAGACTGTAGGTCTTTGATCCATGTTAGAAAAACAGACATAGTTGTAATTGCTGATGAAGCATCACCCTATGCCCAGTTTTCTGGCTACGTACATTGAACTCTCTCAATTTGCAGCAATCTTTTTTGGTCTCCTTCACTCCCCCACGAGGCAACCCAGCCCTGATAATGCTCATCTTTCCCTCTCCATGCAATTAACTTCAGCATCTCCAGCTGTTTAGTTAATCCAACAATAGTTTTCTTGTGCAGTAGAATCACAACTGCATAGACAAGTTGAAGGAACCCTCAGTCAGAATCCATCATGATGTGAAAAATGATGGCAGTGAATCCAAGATAAAGATTAATGAAACAATTTTTATATCATTTGCAAAAGCTGCTTTTGTTTTTCCCTTTAGCACCAGCACTAAATTAAGAAAATGGTGTTCTCCACTCCTACCATTTACTTATATAGCTCAGTCTATCATGTATGTGAAAGTTGAAATGAGGATCAAGGAGACCTGCGCACACTTTGATACTTCAACGAAAAGGAACAAAGAAACTGTTTATGGAGGCATAATAAGCAAATGAAATGAATCAAAATGCTTAGGCAATAGGATTAGTAAGAAGTTTCCTAACATGTATTACATATGAATTGTTAACCTATCATTCAACAGAGCATAAAAATTACACATACTAGTAGATTACTGATTCTATTTTTAAAATAAAATGAAAATGTATATTGAAACTTGAGAAGAATAAGAGCATCAGGGTTTCTGAAAAAAAAAAAGGCCTGAAGAATTCAAGGCTTTCATCTTATTTAAAGAGCATGCAGCTTGTTCTTCATTCCTTACGAACAAGATGGTGGAATTAAACATGCATAACACAGAGATGATGCAATATAACAGAAACAAACCATAATTTATTACAAAAAAAGAGGGAACAGAAACAGTTGTCCTGGAGACAGGGGTAGCTGAGAAGGAAGCCTGCAATCTCATCTCACAAGACAAGTAAAGTCCTGGAAGTTTCTGAAGAAGCATCTTGAACTTGAAAGAACAACAATTAAAGGTGTTTACCTCTTTTATTTTCCAGTGGAGTAATGCAACTGAACAAGATGACATAGAGTCACGAACAAACCTAAGAGGAAGACGCATTCCACTGATGTGGCCTAACGGCCACTGCTGCCCATATGGGCAGCCGGTGGATATGCACCATCTTCAGTTCGAGCCACACTAATTACAACAGATACTAACACTCTAACAACAATTTC